TGGCTTAAGTATCTGTGTAACTAGGTTGGCTCTTTTCCTGAGTTAGTCTTAGTTTGCTTAATAAATAACCGATAAACACTCACTCAAAGCTACAGCTGTGTCTTCTCCAGAATAGCGCAATTCACTTGTTTGTTTACCAGAGAGGGTAAGTGGTTGTTCAGAAAAACTTGGGCTCATCTATGTCTGGGGAAACATTTCTGAAGGCCCACGTCATGTGCTCTTGTCTTAGCAGCCAAGAATTTGCTCCATGAGAAGTGCAACCTTATGAATCAGAGAGGCCGGCAGACTGTTTCTGGCAACAGCAAGTAAGCAAGATGCAGGAATGGAACGAACTCCACCAGAAGCCAGAAAACTCCCCAGTGTTGAACATTTATCCACAGCAAATGAAATCACACATTTGTGTACAACAGTTGCCAGCCCATCTAATAAAACAGTCATCAATCAATTTCTCCACCCTGCTTCTGAGCTTAATAAAAGAACCAAGAATACATGGCCTAGAGCATTTGATGGGAACTTAGGTATGAAGGAACTCGTTCATTATCCCTGCCCAATTTTTAGAAATGAATAATTATTGTGTACAACTTAAAGCTGTAATGTCTTTTTCATTTTATTTACAGTCAGAGACTAAAGAAGGTATAATATCAGATATTACTCAAACTTGTGGGAATTAAATCTAGATAACTCTACACCAGGCCTGAAACAAGTTTGGGAGTCTGATTTAAACAAAGTGGATAATGCAATATGGCACCTTTGTGGAAATCTGGGAAATGTTTATCTACTTCAATACAAGAATTATATCTTAAAATCTTACTTCACTGGCAGTTAACCCCTATAAGAATCTCACGTATAACACATAATTACTCTACAAGGTGCTGAAGGGGTTGTAAATCAAAAGGAACTTTTTCCCCCATCTTTGGTGGGAATGAAATAAAGTCTCAAATTTTGGAGTGAGATTTTTAACAAAATGATAGCAATAGCCATAAGACTGAATTCTCACCAAATTTAGGTTTATTACGTATATTTGATGGAAGGAATTAAAACATTGTGAAGCAAGAAACATATTGTTTACCTGCTTTCAGTTGACCATTGACCCCTAATATTTTTCAATCTTTCTCTTGAAAAATAGTTTGATAAAGATTTGGTTGATTGCTTTGCTTGAGAAGGATCTGGTAAGATTCACATGCTTAAAAGATGATTTGGGAATTATTATTTTATTTGAATTGGCAGGATTTTCTTTTACAAATGATAAAATGAATTCCCACTAGGATGTATGGAAAATGTAACTGGCTTGATACAAGATTATTTAATGTATAAATTATTGTATGTAATGTATTGCCATGTCAATAATAATAATAATAATAATAACAACAACAATAATGTTATACATATACAAACACACAAAGATGCCTCCTTGCCTTTGAGAACTCAAGCCAGCTTATATTGTAACATTCCTCATCTTAAGTCCCACAACCATACCTGTGAGATAGGTATGGTTGTGAGACTTAACTGGCCCAAGGTCATCCAGTGAATTCTGAGTTTGAGTGGAGATCTGAATCTTTCCATTGTGCTAATTAGAGATGGTTGCATCAATATATGACAAGACTTCAGTGTTGCAGCCCTCAAGTTACTGGAATGGTCCTCATGGGATACGTGTGACAATTTGAGTGTGAGATCATCTTCACTATTTTTCCCCTGAAAGGTTCCTACATGGGGGTCTTTTTGTTTCATTTTCCTTTCTAAAATATGTATAAACCCAAGCTAAAAGTGGTTAACAGATCCCCTTTTTCTTGAAAGTGTGTGGCTATTTTGGGAGGAGGAATCCTCTCTCCTCCTCCCCACAGAGTGTGCAATTAAGAGAATTCTTCCACTGGTTGTTTGCATTTCTTCTGATGGCTGCAATAGTCATACTCCTTCCTACTTTGTGGCCTTGAGTTTTCTGAGCCTCATAGTTCTTTCCTACCCAGAGGATGCCAGAGTGAGGGCAGGAAACACCACTACATAGGTCATCAGGTGGCCTCGGGGTGAAGGCAGCTGGGAAATCATGTTTCCTGCCCTTACTCTGCTGTCTTCCGCATAGGAAGGAACCAAAAAGCAACAAGGAGCATGAATGATTTTTTTTCTCCAATTTGTGCATGCACAAATACATATGTGTACACACAAACACACTCACAGACACATTGAAGAGACCATATTTGGTGCAGCTCCAATTATAATTGTTTTTGTTTGTCAACTATATGCACTAATGAAGTTGCAGAGATGAAAAATATGAACATAAGCAAATTGAACTATTAATTTTAAAGAAATACTCTTAACAGTAACATGAATTAGTTTCCCTCCAGGCAGCCATAACTACATATTTAAATGGCACCTTCCCATTTAATTTTTAATACAGCAGAACAGTGAGTATAAAAGATTTTGAGGTTACTAATTCACATTAATCATCCTGACTACAGAATGCTTCAGAATTCTAACAATGTTCTTTAAAAAAAAAATAGACTATTCCCACTTCCAGGCCAAGTTTTCAATTATTGCCTGTCCTACACTGAATGTGTTCAATCTTTATGATATTGCTTGATTTATTTTTAATCCCCTTCTATTTTTTTTCCCCTCTATAGTATTTTACACTACTGGAATTCTTGGGGAGTCTTGGCTTCTGCAAACAGCTATCACCTTTCTCTTAAAAATGGGTGCTATGAATAATGGAAGATTGGATAAAGTCATACTTATCCATACTCAGTGTTTAAACTTTAGCATTAGATAACCAAAGCTATTAATTTGGGCCTTATGCATATTGCCTCCCAGAAGTACAGTTAAATTTATGGCTATACAGGTTGTCCTCACTTAATGACCACAATTGGGACTGGCAACTCCATCGCTAAGTAACGAGGCAATTAAGCAAGACATCACATGACTGCAACTTGCAATTTTATTGTCAACTTCTCCATTGACTCTGCTTGTCAGATGCTGGCTGTGAAGCTTGCAGATGGCGATCACATAATGCAAGGACTGGTCATAAAGTTACTTTTTCAGCACCATCATAACTTTAAATGGTTGTTAAACAGGGCAGTTGTTAAATGAGATCTACCTGTACTTCCCAAGGTTTGATTCCCACATTACAATGAAGGAATGGAATTTTGCATGCAACATGCCTCTGTGGTGGGCTCAGGTTCAGAACTATGTTCATGGAAGGGAGGCAAGGACTTTGACCATATCTGTGAGAGCTGCGTCTTGCTGTGCTGACATTCCTTCTACTCCCCATCCTCATCATTGATGGCAGGCACTATTTCAGTAGTAGTAATAGTAATAATTTATTAAAATTGTATGCTGCCCAATTCTCAATGACTCTGGGCAGATCACAACAATCAGGCAAAGAAATTAGAATAAAATCAAATCATAAAAATAAAGATAAAAGACAGCAAGCGTGATGAAGCAAGGGGTCTCACTGTTGCTTGCCAAAGGCCTGGATGAAGAACCAGCGTGAAGGATCAAGGCAAGGGATTACTTTATTTTCAGACCATTAAAAATATATTATTCATACAGTAGTTGCAAAATAGCCAGATGAGGGTGAAAATGGGGAGAGCGAGCATCTCTTGTTTGTAAAGCTCTAATTCCTAAATGAAAACCTTTAAGGAGCAGAGGTGTTTCTCTGCAAGAGTGCATGAGCTTGAGACTAGCAAGCATTATCTCACATGGCATTTTGCAAATCCTGTTGCACTAACATCAGATGATCTAATTACCACAAAGGCAAAGCTGATATTTACTAGAACAGGACGGCGTGAGCAAGTTTCAGACTTCCGTTATCTACTTTTTTTTAGAACTTCAAAACCCGTCAATGGGAATCATGTGCAAAAGAGAGGCTTAACAGCTACTCAGGGTATCTCTGAGCATAAATGTGTTTTAGTATCAACTTACGGTTTTTCGATATTCCCTTCACTCCAGTTTTTTCATGCTCTTTAATTTCAGCAATCTGATTTTGAAGCTGGGGAGCCTTTTGTGATTCTCTTATTTAACAACTGGAAATCTGAAATCCCAATTAGGAGTCACAACATTCCAAATGTAGAGAATAATCTCAGTCTAATTCCTGCCCACCTCTTCCCTGGAATACATATTTTCAGAACAAATCTCTACATCTCTGCACTGAAACAAGACCTGAAATGTTCCCTAAATTAACAGCATCATCAATTTAAATAAGATTCAAGTGTATTTTTAGAGTCACATGGGACTACAATTTCCCAATATTTAGAATTTTAGCTTTTGTCTTTTAGCCCATTTGTGAGAGCGCCCATTAAGAGTAATTTTAGAGATCATTTTGGATTCTGTGATAGGCTGAAATGGATCCTATTTTCATGCTTGGGCTCATCTAGCTTTAAATGTTTAATCTTATCAAACTGTTATTCTTATCAAACTATCAGACTGTTTTAAATGGGTTTCAGAATTGTTAGGAGTCGGGCAGCATATACATTTGATTAATAAATAAATATAGTATATCTTGTCTTGGAAGAATATTGCACACTGCAAGGCATCAATTTCATAAAGAAATGCAACTCAATTCCTTGCACTTCTTTAAATTAAGAATTAAATTAGAAATAAACTTGACAATAAGGTATTATTGAATATCTATCTTGTTTCCACTTTAAACTGAACTCTAATAGTTATGTTTAGCATGCCAAATAGGCGTTCACCAGGCCAAGGACTTCTGCTGAATGGGGCTGAGGTGCAGGGGGAAAGAGGAGGAAGGGGGAATCCCCCGAATGGGATAGAAGTATCTTCTGTAAGGGGATTCTTCTCATTCCCACAGCAAGCCCCTGCAAATTTAGAAGGATTCAGTGGCTCGCTATGTAACATCTGGAAGGGGGGGATAAATGCTGGACGATGATCATAGGAGAGACAGTGAAGGAATCCACTTGCTCCAGTTTAGCTGAAAGGTCCTAAATCTCTGTCCAGAGTCATTTATGAATAACAAGTTTAAAAAAACGGGCAAAGCTGTAGAAGTACCAAAAAGTATTTATTCAAGACCACTGTAAAAAATAATTCTAAACAAATTGTAACAAACTGGATTAGGATTCTTCTCCCTAACAGAGTCAGCAATTGAATTTTGCAAAATTGACATTTCTTTCTTCCTGCCTTCCTTCCTTCATCTTTTCTATTTCTTTATTTATTTTCTGCACATGTTATATAAACATACATTAAAACTTCTTACATTCGTCTAATAAAAGAAAGCCCTGGTCAGTATAAAAAAGCACCATTCTTGCTTCTTCAGCTCACTTACAAGTTAAACATTTTTTCAAGGCCCCTCTAGAAAAAAATATTTTTAATCAAAAACTATGACTTGAAAGAGCTGATGAGAATTAAAAGTCAGTGTCTAATAGTAGAAATTCAAGAATATTCCCTGCATCATAGTAGTAATTGGGGTTCACATTTTTTTGACAAGCAAGTAGCAAATCTGGCTCATCCTAAATACAGACTCTTAGAGAAGAGTGAACTCAGTTTAGGAAACATAACTGAGGTTAACTGCCTTCATAACAGGCATCGACCAAAAGTTTAATTCTAAAAGTTTGAGTTAAACCCAGTAGAGTCTCAGCTGTCCATCAAGGGAGTGACACTAAACAGCTCCTTCTTTGAGTGGCATTTCATTCAGAAACAATAATAATTTTACTGATCCCTCTTCCATTGCTCTCAAAGTTTGCAATGCATACTCAGAACTAACCCTGTGAGTAGCAGCAGTGGCAGGCAAAAGGCTCAACCGTCAGGCTCCACATGTGTATACAGCTTTCTGTGTCTGGAGGAAATTACATCACTGCTTCTCTAGGATGTATTGAAGTAGAAAACAGGTTTTTGCACCATCCAATTGGTAAAGCTACCGTATCTGGGCTCCATAAATGCAGATAACTATGAAATGACAGCAAAGAGGTACATCTGTCTGTATCTCTTCACTGCCATCTTGTGGTTGCACAGGTTTTTGCAGGCCAAGTAACATTGAAAATAAAATCCTCAGGCTTGATCTTGCTTACACGAGATGTAAACGGTGACTTAAATGGTGCAAAAGGCAGAATCTGAAGTAACCTGAAATGCACAAAAATCTGTCCAGTGCAAACATTTATATAAAACTTTTTTTGTACCCTTGTTTGTTTCACTCCAGTTATCTTAGTTAATTTCTTATCCAAGAACAATACTGGGTAGCTAGAGTTACATCCACAGGTTAGGGATTGTTAGAGATGCTGTTTTCATGTGGCAACTAATGATTGGACAACTGAAACCTGTTTTCCCATCAGGATCTATCTAATTCACAAACAGAGATCAATGCCCACTCAGCCACAATAATGGCAGTTTGAGAGAGAACATGGTAGACTCCCACTGTAACTAGCTTTTAAACAATCATAGATTTGATCCCAAAGAAGATCGCAAATCGTCTAAGTAAAAATGGCCATCAGTAAATTCAGGAAAGCCTTTCTTGCTACCTTCATTTTTTAGCACATCCCACTCTAGGAGTTCCACCATTTTTAATCAGCCATCTTTTTTTGTACATTGGCAGATCTAAAACTGAGATAGGAACAGGGGGCCCTCTAGCCGTTGCTGAACTGTAACTCCCAGCACCCTCACCATTGGCCATGCTAACTAAGGCTGCTGGGGGTTGTAGCTTTGCAATACCCAGGGGGCCACCTTTGCAGAGGCTGCTATTACCACAGACTTCACTAAATCATAATGCCAGCAGGCACTTCATGATAACATACTGGCAGGTTAATGTAGACCCCATTTCTAGTCTGCAAACCGTTGCAACAGATGGTCTTCTCCACGTCGGGCACTGCTGTTCCCTCCAGCACTACTATCCATGAAGCGTTCACAAGGGAACTCGATGAGGTCAGCCTCACGCAAGGCACAAACAGCACTACGGGGTGTACGGTGGGACTGGAAGCCGGAAAAGTCGGTGGAAACACCTGTACCCATGGACCGGAGGGGCCGGCGGGTGGAATACATCTGCCTAACGTGGACCGGTGAGGCCGCCTTTCTCCGACGGCACCCCAGGATCTTCTTCCGCACCAGGCGGGAGGCCCAGGCTGCCAAGGCCAGGAAGAGCAGCAGTGCGTTGACCGCCAGCAGCACAAGGGTGAGCAGCTGCTGATCCAAGCTTTGGGTCCCTCCAGCCATCGCAGCAGCTGCTCCCCCCACGCCCTCTTCAGGCAAAGTGACCAGCCCTGCACAATGGTCCCGTGGTGCCACTGGGCAGACCCGGCCCCCCATCACTCCCTCCACACAGACCAGATATGGGGTATCCGGACGCAGTTCCCGCAAAGTAGCTACTGGCTCGTTCCATTCGGGGAGATAAACAAAGCGCTGGAACTTGACGGCCGTGCCAAAGCGATCGAAAAGAACTCTGAAACGCACAGGCCCTAGCAAGCGAGGGCTGCGGTGCGGGCGGACCCCCCAGCGCACTGTCACTGCGTTCTCAGTGACGGCTTCCACTGTCAGGTTGTACAGAAACAACTTGTTAAAATCACATGGATCAGTTACCAGAGGAAGGGTACTAGACACCGAGGAGACCAAGTGGTGTTTCCCTGCTCGCCGAGGCCAAGCAGCGCCAAGTACAGAAGGTGACCTAGTACTGATAAAAAAGCTGGGCAACGGGGTGGTTGGACCTGCCTCGACACGCCAACTTCCCTTCTCTGGTACCATCTTCCAGGAGCCTGGCAGCAACCCGGTTGAAGCAGAAGGCGGGGAGCTTTGTTTCTCCTGGCCCAAGCCTAAGTTGAAGCTGCCGTTGCCTCCAGGGCTCGCAGAAGAAGCCACCTCTTCCAAACAGGAGCCATTGGAAAACGAGAAGAGTTGCACATCCTCTAGGTAATCAAGGTATTTCCCAGCCAGAGCAGGTGGCCGGTGGCACTGCACAAACACGGTCAGGAGCCGGCCCTGGGAATGCCAGGAAGCCAGCCACTGCTTCAGCCCTCGCAGGTGGCAATCACAGCTCCAGGGATTCCCATCCAGTTCCAAGCGATACAGTGCTGGGTTGGAGGCAAAGAGGTCTCCAGACAGGGAGGCCAGGGCGTTTCCCTGCAAACTGAGCTCCCTCAACTTATGGAGGGGACCAAAGGTCCCAGCTGGCAGGGCGGCGAGGAGATTGTTACTTAGGTCCAACACCTCTAGGCTTTGCAGAGGCTGGAATAAGGTGGCAGGCAGCTGGTTTAGCAGGTTCCCTTCCAAATGCAACTCTTTCAGGGACCCCAGACCAGCAAAAGCCTCCACTGCCAACCACGTCAGGCGGTTCCCACTCAGTGACAACCTGGCCAAATTGGAGAGATGTTGGAAGAGTCCTTTCCCTAGCTGTTGCATGTCATTCCCAGAGAGGAGGAGGGTGCTAAGCAAGCGCAGGGACCGGAAGGTGTCTGGGTGGCGCAGCAAATTCTGCTGGTTGCCAGACAGGTCAAGGAAGCGAAGCTTTCCCAGGCCAGCAAAGGCATTGCGGCTCAGCCAGCGGATGTGGTTGGCCTCCAGATGCAAATACAGCAGGTTGGTCAGTCCTGAGAAGGTGGCATCGCTCAGCGAGCCCAGCAAGTTGCCGTCCAGCCGCAGCTTGACCAGACTGCCTAGACCGGCAAAAGAAGCCGTGCTTAGGTAACTGATCTCATTGGCGTTGATGTAGAGGACCCGCAGCTTGGCCAGGGGGCGGAGGGTGCCCGGTGCCAAGGAAGCCAGGAGGTTGTTGCCCAGGTAAAGCTCCTCCAGGCGCCCGAGGCGTTCGAAGGCTTTCGGGTGGAGCGAACGGATCCGATTGTACTGCAAGTCCAGGCGCTGCAGCGCCACCAAGCGGTGGAAGTCCAAGGCCGAGACGTTGGCAATGAAATTGCCGCCCAGGCTGTAGGTGAGGATGTCCTGCGGCTCGGCGGCCTTGGGCACCGACCGCAGTCCCCGGTTGGTGCAGAGGACGTGCTGCTGCTGCTGGCAGTCGCATGGCTCCGGGCAGATGGGCTCCACCGCCGGCGGGAGCAGA